AGTGTGATGTCATCAGCAGGTCTTTTAATACCCCAAGACGTGTTAAAACAAAGTAATTTAATTTCAAACCTTACAGTAAGTGATACAGCATTGTAAGACACACTACAACTTCAAACAGCGATACACAATGGCTTTAAATCTGCGTTATTCCGTTCTTGGCCCCTACAACTGGACCAGGGATCTGATTTTCAGCTTTCTCTGTGGCTCCCAAAAGGAGGCCCTTGTCAGACAAGTCGAGGAGCTTAAAACTCAGCTCCAAAAAGAAAAGGAACACCATTCCTCTCTGGAGCAGAAGATCACTAAGCTCTCCACCAACCTGGAATCAGAGACCAATGAAAACAAGATTCTCTGGGACCAGGTTCAGTATTTGACCAATAAGGTCCACAAAGAGAAGAACTGGAGTAAGCAGCAGGCAGATGTATGCCAAAAAGAAAGAGTCAGAGGTTATGAGGAGTACACTCTGAGGATCCAGCTTGGCCAACAACTGGAGGAAATGCAGAGACAGCTGGCTGAACAGAGGAGGCACGAAGAGTACATCGTGGCTAAGGAGAGGGAAACTCGGAGAGAGCTTGAGAAGCTCACTGCCTCATACAATGAGCTCCACCAGGCATACGCTAATGTCTACCATGCACACGATGAGATCCAGCAAAGGTATGACAAAGACATGGAGGCTGAAGAACAGGTCAATGTCACCCTTCAGCAGGAATTCGAGGTGCTTAAGGCTTATGTCATCAAGGCGTCGCAGCACAAGGAGGAGGTTCAGAGCACAAGGTGTCAGCTGGACGCCTTCTGTCAGAAAAAGGAGCAGCAGGCCAAACTCCTACAACAAGAGGCCTTTGAGAGGGAGGAGTGTTTGCTGATGAAGTTGGAAGGCATGAAAATCCAACTCGATGAGCAGACCTCAGAAACCATTGCACTTGTTGCTAACCTCAAGGCTAAGAAAGAAGGCAGTGAGGTTCTCCCCACAGAAACTGTCCAACTCATGGAAGAGTTGATAGACCAGGTGTGCCAGCAGGAGGAGTCCCCTGCTGTCTCACAGGACCCTGAACTAGTGGAAGAAGAGTCCCCCTGTGTTGTACAGGACCCCGAACGTGAGGAAGAAGAGCCTGAAATCTTTGGCAAGAAGGCTGTGGAGAAAAGAAAGAAGCCATCTTTCTGGAAAAGAGCTCGCCACTTCCTCGGTTTGAGGAAGAAAAAGGACAAGCGACACATCCAACAGTGACATCTTAATGGACGTTTCCATTCTGAGCGGCTATACCACTGTACCTCCTGAGCTGTAGAGCAGGCCAAGTGCTTCGGTTTCCACCCACACGTGTCAGTTGGACACAAATAATTAAAAAAAATATATAAACAAATAACAAAAAATGTACTGCCTAAATAGGTGTATCTTACAGTAGTTACAGTTTAGTTGTTGATTGGTTGACCAGTGTCAAGAAGGTGGGTCTTAACATTAGCCTATCAGAGGGCAGACGCCAAGGGAGAAAGTGAGAGGAAGGAGAAAACATGAATCCAAGTTGGCATGCTCTGTTAGCGAGTTCACACCATAATACAAAATGATTATAACCCTTATCTCTGAATTATTTTGGTTTAGTTGGTTATGTTAACCTAAATGAACCGAAACCAATGCAATCAAATTTAGCATTAAAGAGTGACGGCCCTTAAAGTGCATAAGCCTAACAGCTTCAAACGTTGGTTAACCAATTTTGGGCAAACGGTAATACCCAAAAACTAATAGGTTGTGTTCAGGGTCATCAAAAAATGTAGCAAAAGTGCTGGAAAATGTTTCCAGCTCCAAATAAACATGGCCTATATCCATTCATTTGCTTAATTCAAGGAACTGAAACGTGCTTGAATAAAGAAGAGTCAAAGCAACTTGCCGCACAATTCCATTTATTTTTTGTGTATGTTCTGGGAACCGTGCAGTAAGAGTTGTGTGGAATAACATATGGAAATCCATATGGTCGAAAAGTAATTAGTATGAGGAATAGCAATGGCACACTAATTACCTTGTAAATAACTTTGTATTTGGAGCTCCATCACTTGACTTTCACAAATCAAAGGCAGGTAAACGAGAATGTATTTACTTTTGAAAATGAATATATTTGTCAGAAAGACCTTTTGTTTATCTGAGTATTGAGTCAGGAAGTCTAATTACTGAGGACAAACATGGACTTCAGTATGCTGGTGCAGAATGTACCTTCTAATCTCAGGTTGTGTTTATTCCTTGTGTACCCCAGGCGGAGTTCTCAGAGATCAACCTGGCCTCCTACGTTAACTCTGGATGTATGGTGGACATGCAGGTCAACAAAGGTGGCACCAAAGTGGTCAGGTAAGATGCTCGAGGGCGAAAAGGAGCTTGAGTTCTTTGACGCATTGGCCCACGCAATCTGTAATCTGCCTCAGTGAGCCTGCACAAAGGCTCCCCTTCTTTTCTCTCAGTGGCATTGAGCATGACTGTGTATATATAACATTGCTTGCACTCAGAGAAATCAAGGCAGTAATGTGATTATGGCATGGGGAAACAAAAAAAGACTTCTTACCCTATTTCAGCCTTGGTGGGAAATTAGTGTGACAATGTTAAAAACAGAAGGATTTAAAATATTTAATCTTGTCACCTCTTAAACTTATGAGAACCGTTTTATGTCATCACCATCATGCCATTCCATATTGCATAATGCATGTTAACAACCAGGGGTTTTAGCTGTCTCCATCAACCTCAAAACATGAGTAATTTCTATGCTATTTCTGGCTAGCTACTGAACATTTGGGTCATTTAGGTGCATCTGAAGTGTAAAAAAAAAAACATTTTCATCTTGCAGTGGCAGAAGTGGCCTCTGGCCAGTTAGCAGCAGCAGTTAGACCAGTGAAGCTGTGTATTTAAATAGACTGCTCTGTTCTGTGACATTGGCTGATGATCAGCTGATCTGGGTGGCAAAGATGACTTCAGACTCACGAGAATTGGCACCATCTACTTATCTCATGCTTATCTTGATGAACCATATAACAGTAGTGGATGGAAACATGCATTCATTCATATTTTCTTTCCGATTTACTCGTTATTCAGTTAGAATTTGCAATACATTTGGAAACATGGCCAGTGTTGTGTTTTGCGGCCCCCCAGCTCCTTCCTATTTCCAGCAATAAAGTCAAATTAATCATATCTTGTGATATGATTCATTTGGGAGTGGGAGGATTACAATTAAAGTAATCAACACTGTTGCTAAACTGTATGTGGCATCACTTAAATACACTTTTTTTCATGGAAGGCATTTTGACACAGTAGTAAAAGCACAGGTTTAAATAATAAAATGAATTTCAGGGTCCTGGTATTGTTCATGTTGGCTCATTGTCACGGCTTATTGGAACACTTGAAGAGAGCAGAGCCAATACTTTTGCTTTTCCTACTATGACAAGTCAAAATGAGTCTGTCTATATCTTTAAATTGATTTTGTTTTATTTGTTTGTTTGGTTATTTACTTTATTTTATATTTGGATAAATCAGCAGTCTTTTTTTCTTGGTTGTTATGTTTGCCTTTAGCTAGCGCTCTCCTTGGCACCCAACGTGGCATCAACTGTCACTGCTAGAGCGCAGAGTGATCATATATACCATATCTGCAAGTCTCCTGGTCTTACACTCCAGGCTTCTGAGCTTCTGCATCCTGATTGGTCCATTCGATCAGCTAACTGAGTCCATGCCATCCAGTGTCAGCCCACCAGTGCTCATTCTAGCCTTCTTAGGGAATAATCAGCTAATCTGTGTTGTGGCCTCGACTCCACACAGTTTTGCAAAATAACTTTCTTATCAGTGTTGTGCCGGAAATGGCCTCACCATGCAACGCAGTGTGAAATCATGCAAGAATAATCACAGGGAGACACGGCTGATATTACAATGCAACCTGTTGTCGAGATCTACACAGAGGTTATTGTGTGGGTTGAATATTTTTTTGGTGATATTGCTGTAATGATAGAGAAGCTAAATTGGCTGCAGATGGTCCGACTGCTGCCGCGTTCACACAACACTGACATTCACTGCCAAATTGTTGCGGTTTAGCTTGTCGTTTATGACTCTGAACATGACTACAAATACTACAATGGTTGATTGTAGCTGGCAGTCTGATGCTCGATGACTGCTGAAGCACAGTGGTTAGAAACACGATCTTGTAGCTGGAGAGTTGAAGTTGATATCTTTTATTGAGTAAGACACTGAAACATTCCCTGGATAAAATATATCTAAGTACCCCAGAGTGTAAACTGATTAAAATCTGTCCTTGTCGTAGATTATAGCTAATGAAAGCTAATTACCTCTTTGATTGTTTCATTCTTAGCCGGAAGAATGTTGTGATACGTCCACAGATAGACTCAGGATAGACAAAACACTACTTTCCCAAGCACAAACTAAATGCACTCTGTCTGATTACATTTTTCTGTGTGTGTAGGTGTGTGTGT